CACCAAAAGTCACTTCTCCTCCATTTTTGACGTTAAGCTCTATGAACCGGCTTTTGTCTCCGGTCATGTGTCTTGAGCATCCACTATCAAGGTACCATGAATTTGAATTTGTTTCTCGTGCCTTGTAGCAATGCTCCTTTCCCTACAAACATAGATTAATTTTTGATTTTTGGTACCCAAATTCTTTTGGGTCCATATTCATTAGTTTCCAAAATCCTAGTCCCCTTAGGTATCCATTTGTGTAGGATATCTTTATCTTTAGTAGTAATGAGTCCTTTAGGAACCCATATACTTCTAAAGATTTTACCATTTAAGGTTCGTTGAGGATTTCTATGATTGTAGTTTCTAAAATCATTTCTAACAAAGTTGGATTTTGAATTTTCTCCTTTTTCAAAACGTTTTGTTCCAACTTTATCAAAAGAAGTTTTAAGATCATCAATTTTCTTTTGATGATCATCATTGACCTTTGAAAGTAAATTTTGCAAATCTAAATTTTTCTTTTCAAACTCTTCTAGTTTGATTTGCAAATCTTTGATTTTACTTTCAAGATCATTGTTGGTTTTGGATATGAGTTTATTTTCATTTTTTAACTTTGAAACATCATTTTTATATTTTAAAAATAATTTCTCATAATCCGAAGCCAACCCATTATATTCCTCTAATAACTCATCATAAGATAAATCATCAAAATCAGATGAGTTAGAGGTTACCTTAGAATCTTCCCCAAATGCCATTAAGCACAAGTTTGCTACTTCTTGTTCTTCTTCATCGGAACCTTCTTCATCGCTCCATGTAGCCACATGAGCCTTGTGCTTATTCTTTGATTGACCCTTCTTCTTCAATTGTGGGCAATCATATTTGACATGCCCTGGCTTTTTGCATTCATAGCAAATGATCGGGTCCTTCTCTTTTGGTTCATCTTTGAGGCCTTCATTTCGTTTGAATTTTCTTCCTCGGTAAGGTCTCATCATTTTTCTGAACCGTTTGGCAAACAATGACATTTACTCGTCATCATCATCATCATTAGAATCACTCTCATCTTTTGTGGATTTGAGAGCAACTCCAATGTTTTTCTTCTTCTCCTTCTCCTTTGGTGTCTCTTCAACTTTATCAAGGTCCACCTCATCTTCAAGCATCATCTCATGAGTGAGGAGTGAACCGATAAGTTCTTCAAGAGTTAAGGACGATAGGTCCTTAGACTCGATGATTGCCGTCTTCTTTGATTGCCATGATTTTGGGAGGGAGTAGACTAACTTCCTCACAAGCTTTTCATTTGAGATGATCTCTCCATATGATTTGAGACCATTGACAATCGTTGAAAATCTATCCGTCATAGCTTTGATGTCTTCATTTGGTTTCATCCTGAAATTTTCATAGTTATGCGTTAGAATACTAATTTTTGATTTCTTTACCTCATCTGTACCTTCATGTGTGACTTGAAGTTTGTCCCATATTTCTTTGGCGGTTGTACACGATGAAACTCTTCCGTATTCATCTGGTCCAAGAGCACAAAAAATAATATGGATGGCTTTGGAGTTGAGCTGGAACATTCTTGTCTCTCCTTCACTCCACAACCTTGGATGAGTGAGAGGTTTGATGTATCCTTCTTCTACAGCATTCCATGCTCACATGTCACTTGCTTGAATGAAGTACATCATTCTATTCTTCCAATAGGCATAGTTAGCTCCATTGAAGAAAGGAGGCTTGTTGACGGGCATCGAATCGAGACCGGAGTCGAAGTTTGAAGTGGAGGCCATTGATGACTTTGTAATCGATGTAACTCTTCCCGGATCGACTCAAGAGGCGATTAAACCTTCAAATGAGTTAGGCTCTGATACCAATTGTTGAGTTAATCGAATGACGAAATTGGCCAAGAGGGGGGTGAATTGGCAATAAAATTTTGTGGAAGCTTTTGCAGAAAATTGAAAGTAATTGCACAGCGATTTACAGTGGTTCGACTTTCTCAAACAAAGTCTACGTCCACTACCTTAGCTATCCACACTAAGGATTTTCCAACAAATTCACTAATTTGTTCTTTCTTTTGAGGCCAAAGAGATAACCTTACAATTCCCTCAAGAGTATACCCTAACTCTTGAGAACACTCTTTTCTCAAAGAGAAGATTACAAATTTGCAAACTTACAAGAAAACCTCACAAGGTAAGATGTTTGTACAATTCTAGAACAAAAAAAAGAACACTCAAAGATGAATACAATTGAGCACAAAAAGTGTTCTTGAAAGCAAAATGAATATTGAATGAAAATAGGCTTGAAATGCTCAAACTTGAGGTTTGATGCTTTCTCTTTGATTCTCTCTTGATTCTAGTTGCTTGATGTTTCTTGTTTCTGATCAATGGCTTCTAAGCTTGCTTAAATACACCTTGGATCACTTCTGAACGTTGGGGATGATTAGAGAAGATATTATAGCCGTTTTAGTGTGAAAACATTTAATAAAACAGCTTGGAGCGTGGGGGGAATCGGTTCCCTCTCATAGGGAATCGGTTCCCTAAGTGTAAAATTCAAATATTTCGACCGTTGAACAGGGGGGAATCGGTACCCCCTTGGGGGGAATCGGTTCCCTCCGAGCATTCTGGAAATCTCGGAGCCAAACCATTCAGGGGGAATCGGTTCCTCCTATGGGGGGAATCGGTTCCCTCTGAGCAATCTGGAATTTTTGGCTTTGAATTGGTTCGAAATACTTTGTAAAATTATTTTGAAATTGTTTTATGATTAAAACTTAATTTTACACTTAAGTAAGGATTAAAAATGATTTTTGAAATATTTGGAGTAATGTTTTGATATTCGAATAGTTATATCGAATATACTTAGAAAATCATTTGGAAAATCTTAAAATCCATTTAACTTAATTTGTTATATCGAAATATTAAAATGTTTCAACAGATATTTATTTCACTTACAGTATTATATATTACTTTATTATATATATATATATAATATTGCATGTAGTGCATTGTGTAAATATTATATTTTACATTTTAGTATATTTTATAATTAATACTATGTTCTATGTTAAATATCATGTTTTAAAAAAATATATGTATAGATTTATAAAGTAAAATAAAGTTAAAAACCTTAAAATTGTTTTTAGTCCATATGCATATTTATAATTTTTCTTTAAATGCTTTAATTTAATATTGTTTTATTTAGGCATTCATATTTAATCATTATATTTTATTTCGTCTAAAAGCCTCTTAAACATAACTCAACCGATTACATAATTGGATTAAGGGTAGTATTTATTTATTTTAAAATATTAAGAAATGTCCTTTTCCGATGTTTTAAAATAAATAAATACCCCACTAGAAAAAACTAAAAAATTGATTGCGTTTAAAATTAATCAAGCTTGAAAGGAAAAGGAAATATTCTCTTATTTAAATTATCGAGAAAATTCGTCTAATTTTATTAGGGAGTTAGTCTCGATATTTTTAAGTAATTGAATATCCCTTATCTTTTCTAATCATATAATTTGGATAAATTGGCTTAATTTATTTCTTTGGTCGAATTAAATTCTTTTAACCTCGAATTCTTGGAAGAAATTATTATATTCTTTTTATTTCAGTTGAAATGAGAAATATTCGTCCTAAAATATTTTAGGGATTATTTTCTCTTCAATTAGAAATATTAAAATATTTTATATTTCTCCTTAAAATTTCCTGTTAAATAAAAATTATATGGTTGAATTTAGAATAATGGGATCGTAATTTAAATTTATATTCGAATTCTTAAATTTTCACTAATAGAGACAATTTATAATCGATGGGGTGCCAATATTGGGCGTTGTGGGGGTGTTTATCCTTCCCCACACATAATCGGTCCTCGAACCCTTTTTTATTTAAAAAGAATGAATCTCTGGTTACACGCAGACTAATTTATCTTTTAAAATGATGTTTTCTTAAAAACTCTTTTAAAAGAAATTTTTTAGGTATTCGGCTTACCTAACTCAAAGGTCGATGGCGATTCCAAAACATTTCAAAACCTTTTTCAAAAGAAAACCCCAAGTCGTACTAAGTTTTCTCCCGCCCGGACGAAAAACAGTGTCGACGGCATGTTTCCGTCATTTCTGGTTTTTAATACAATAGTCTAACTGGTGTTGCTCCTCATGTCAATCCTGCTTTCTTGGTCGTGGAATGACACCTAATGGAATGGGAAATTGGGAACGGTGGGTTTATATGGAATGGTTAGGTCTCTCGCGGGAATATGGGCGAAATCAAACATGGGTGAGTGGGAAGGTGATGAGCATGATGGTAGGACTAGACAGATATGATGGTGAAGACGGTACTTTAGAGTGAATTTCATCGTTTTTTTCTTTAGTAGTTCATGTTCTATATGTATGTCATTTGCTCTTCAATTGAGATTTGTCGATCATAATACGTTCTATATGTTTTCAATATTGCTATTTAATGTTTTCTCTGTCTCTTTCAAATATTTGAAGCTAGGGTTTTGGTGAGTTGTACTATGTTAGATAGTCTTACTTCTACACCAAGTCATTTTGTTGCAATTTGGTCTTGTAGATGGCTCTCCTCGTCTTTTACTCCAAAAATTTACAGAGAAATTATTATTTTTTCACTGGCTTCTTGATATTTATCTTTTCTGAATTCATTTTGTTTGATTATATCTTATTTTTACTTGTAACTACCATTAAAGTTGGGTTTGACCCGGATAATGTTTCCATAATTTTTTCTTGAATCCTTTAACTTAGTTTGAGCCTCCATTATTGTCTTCTTCACTGTTCTTGTAGATACAGCAGCAACTACACTTATATCCATTTCATAATCCAAGGGAAGAAGAAAATAATTATAATACTAATAATTGTGTTAACATAGTGTAGTATTAATTATGCAATTGGAATGACATTGCTTAATGTTATATAGTACTAATTAATATCAATATTTGTTCTTTTTCAATGTAAGTAAAAAAAATATACACATTTTTAATAAAACTTTAAAATTATATCAATTGAATCCCAAGTAAAAAAAATTTAATTTATAAATTCGGGGGAAAACATAGAGAATGAAAAATCTTCACTTGGATCACCCCTGTGCTTTGCTTCAGATTTTCTCTGAAAGTATCTGAGGTAAATCCACCCCATATATGTTCCAAATATCAAAAAGTTGGATGATATGTTGCTGACTCTGGGGTGAAGAAACTTAGGGAGATAGAAATCAACAGCATAAGTGACGGCAGCCACTGCATGGCATATGAAGCATCAAGCAAAGGACGAAAGATTTGAATTCAAAGAAAATTTTAATGTCAAACCAAATTAAATGGTGCTTCAAATATGAATTTTTACCTTCGCTTTTATTTTTAGCAAAGATAGTTCTTGGTCAGGTACAATTTGTTTGATGCCAACCAAGAAACCCGCCAGCACTCCATGGAAACCGGAATGAGGCATGTTACTAGCAAAATGACCAAAAGAAAATTAGCAGGCCAAGGGTTGAGAGGCACTCTTCATTTTTCCCTATAGTACCCACATCAAACACATACTCGGACATGGGCATGGGATATGATTAAACATTCCAATTTTGGAATATGCTCATATCCGCACTTACACCCGAGTCTAAGTAACATAGTTCAGAGGTATAAGGGTTGTAAACATGATTGAAAAATAATTAGGTTAAAATTTGCACAATATATTTCATAAACTTCGAGAAAAATATGCCATAGTCCTACCAATAAGAACAATGAGGGGAAAAGGGTGAGTGCTTCAATATAGAAATATATTCTATTTCAATTCTCAAACATTTGATAAGAATGGAGGAAAAAGAACAAGCAGAAGATGTAAGGCTATGCGAAGAATTAATAGAAAAAAAATGCTTACAAAAACACAGAGGGGATTGTAGTACTCGCAGGTAATTTTCCTGCATTGTTATGTAGTATAAAGCGACAGCAGTTATGAAAACACAGAAAGAAGTTAGGAAGTTAATTACGAAGATGAACTTTAGGAACTCCTTAGAACCCCATATAGGCTCAAGCAACTTCCCCATGAAAAGAAGACCAATAGTGCTGACAACAACCTGCAGAAATCAGTGTTCATTAGTATAACTATATTGAAAAAAAAGGTAAATTGTGGAAATAAGGAGTAAAATAAAACATGCTCATACCCCATGTACTGATTGTTCAATATAACCAGCTTGTTATGAGGTTCCAACCAAAAGGAACTGTCCTGTAAAATAAGTTTCAAATAGAACAAGAGTATTGAGTTCTTGAAATGATGCGTATGGAGATATGAGCCTCTAAATATATCGAAAACAACCCATATAAGACACACACTCGTTTCCAACACTATCATCTGAATCAGAATAACCTAAAGTAAACGGAATACGCATATTAAATAACTAGAAAAACCCATCAAAAGATAACTATCCAAATTAAGAAAATGCTGCAACTATCCCAAAATCCAGATTAAACATTCAGATAACAAAATGTTGAGTTACTTCATGGATCATGTCGAAACATCAACAGTGCAATTGAAACTAGAACCAGATCACCATTAAAATAAACACCCAATTCCAAAAACAACAAGGCAAAATCAGTCTAACACTAGTGTTCCTTCGATTTTGGGTCAATTAACAATGGCATTTGACTAAAATCCTATTAGGGTATTTCACTAAAACCACCACCAGAACCAGAACGAATCAGGACCCAATTTTACCAATACGAAATTGAATAGAACTAACAGAAAAACGATGAAAAAAAAAACTGAAATGGGAAAAAAACCTGGGGGAATAAGAGCGAGGTAAGTAACAGAAGAAGGGATAAGCTGAACAACAATGTCGCCGCCGATTAGTATCATTGTTAGTCCCTTACATAGCTCTATAAATCCACAGAATAATTCACAACCCTATAAATTCAAGTTCAACAAATATAAAATTAATTAAAAAAAACTAAAAATATAGCAACATTTCTTTTCTAAAATGTAATTTTATGTAAGATAAGATTACCGGAGAGCTCATTGCGGAGCTAGTGAATTGTGTCAGTTGATCTTTCTACAGGTGAACGGCTGACTGATCTAAATGAAAATGAATGTAATTAGTTTTTTACCCCCGGGAATTTTACTAATTGATGTAAATTTTGAGGGTTTTAAAGCTTCAGATCCAAGGTGAGAACAGGATTTAACGTATTTGCGACGTAAATAGTCTTTCAATTATAATTTGTTTAAATATGCACTAACCAAGTTAGATAAGTGATTAAAGAAATGTTTAATTAAAAAATTACAGAGTTAACTACCGAATAATTACTTTTTTTTATTTGTATAGTTTTGCTCATCAAATTTGAAATTATTACGTTTTGATCACTTACGTTATCAATTGTTATATTTTGATTAGTGAGTTGTTAATTCATGTTAGTTTGATAAAATAGAGCGTGGTCAAAATAGGTTAACTTTTAATTTGTTCCTTGAACTTTAAATAGAATACTAATTTGATTCTTAAATTTTATATCAATTATCATTTTGACACATAAATTCGATCAAAATGTCTTGTCGTTGGTTACCATTTGACACTGTTTTTGACCATTGTTGGATCTAATTTTTTTAAATTTAATTAACTTTGACCTCTTAAAAGTGAATTTAGTGTTTGTTTTATCGAAAAATACCTTGAACTCATCAAATCTATCTTAGAATAATTGATTTCCTTTCAAATTAAATTAATAAATTTCAAATTAATAATTCTTTAAAAATAAAAACACTACAAATCTAAATTTATATTACAATTAAATCCATAAGTTTTTTTATTATTATATTGTTATGATATATATATTTTTGTTGATATATATATATATATATATATATATATATATATGGATAAGATCTAAATGCGTAGCCTAAAACTTTTTAAATATTACATAGGGTTATGACCTTTGGATAGATCTAAATATATAGTCTAAAACTTTTTAAATTTTACATTGGTTTATGACCTTTGGATAAGTGAAAATTAACAGTTGAGATTAATAATAGGAAATGAGAATATATTCATTAAAGAAAAACTATAGTGAGTTAGCTGACTTATGGTTGTTGTTAGGGCCTAGGAGGCACACCTTTATGTGTTTTTAGTACAACTTGTGTTCATGGGTGTTGAAAACATTTTAATGTTTCGATATAACAATTAAAATGTAAATAAATTTTAAGATTTTATGTTCAATTTCAAAAATAATATTCGATCAAATTAATTGAATATCTCATTTATTACTCCAAGTTTTTTAAATGTCAATTTTACTCCTTACTTATGTGTAAAATTGTGTTTCAATCTTAAAATATTTTTGAAACAATTTTTACAAAGTATTTCGAACCTTAATCGAGCCAAAAATGAATTGTAAGTAGGGGTGTACCGATACACTCTTCGGATGTACCAATACCCCTGAATTTAAAATGTAATAAGGGTACCGATACATAGCCGAATGTACCGATACCCCTCATGTCATAATTGGCTTATAGAAACATCGAATGCAATTAGTGTACCGATACCCCTGGGAGGTACCGATACACTTGGTCAAATAATGGTTGAAATATTTGAATTTTACAGTAGGTGTACCGATACCCCTACGCCCCCAACAGAGTTTTTAAATGGAAAACATACAACAACGACTCTATTGACTTAACCAATGATCCCAAACGTTCAGAATTGATCCAATGTGTATTTAAACAAGTTTTGAAGCCATTGATCAACAAGAATTGAGAGATAATCAAAAGAGAAAGCCTTAAACTTATTGTTTGAGAATTTCAAACCTATTTCCATTCAATATTCATTTTGCTTTCAAGAATACCATTTGTGCTCAATTGTATTTATTCTTGAGTGTTCTTTCTTTATTCTAGAATTGTGCAAACAATCTACCTTGTGCGGGTTTTCTGTAAAGTTTGTGAATTTGTAATTTTATCTTTGGGAGAGAGTGTTCTCAAGAATTTTGGGTATAATTCTTGAGAGATTTGTAAGGTTATTCTTTTTCCTCAAAAGAAAGAAAAATTAATGAATTTGTGGAAAATCCTTAGTGTGGATAGCTAAGGTAGTGGATGTAGACTTTGGTTGAGAAAGTCGAACCACTCTAAATCGCTGTGCAAATATTTTCAATTTTCTGTCGAAGCTTCCACCGACGTTTTAATTACCAATTCACCCCCTCTTGGTCGATTCATCCGATCAATTAAATCAACAATTGGTATCAGAACAACACTCATTTGAAGGTTTTACCACCTCTTGAGTAGATTCGGGAAGAGTTAGATCGATATTCAAGTCATTAATGGCCTCTACATTAAACTTCAACTTTATTCTTGATTCTCATCCCGTCAACAAGCATTCTTTCTTCAATGAAGCTAACTATGCTTATTGTAAAAATAGGATGAGATACTTCATTCAAGCTAGTGACACGAGAGCATGGAAAATCGTGATGAACGGATACTCTGAACCATCCACAAATATAAATATGTGGAGTGAAGAAGAGACGAGAATGTTCCAGGTCAACTCAAAGGCTATCAATATTCTTTTCTATGCACTTGGACCAGATGAATACGGAAGTGTTTCATCTTATACAACCGCCAAGGAAATATGGGATAAACTACAAGTCACACATGAAGGCACCAACGAGGTAAAAGAATAAAAAATTAGTCTTCTTACTCATAGCTATGAAAATTTCAGGATGAATCTAGGAGAAGATATCAAAGCTATGACGGATAGATTTTCCGTGATTGTCAATGGTCTCAAAGCATATGGAGAAATCATTCCAAACGAGAAGCTTGTGAGGAAGATAATTTATTCTCTTCCAAAAGCTTGGCAATCAAAGAAGACGACGATTATCGAAGCTAAAGACCTAAAGTCTTTAACTCTCGATGAGTTTATTGGTTCTCTCATCACACATGAAATGATGATTCAAGATGAGGTAAACCTCGAGAAGAATGATGAGACAAAGAAGGAGACTGAGAAAAAGAAGAATGTTGGAGTTGCTCTCAAATCCATAAAAGATGAGAGTGATTCTGATGATGATGACGATGATGAAGAAATGACATTATTTGCCAAACGGTTCAGAAAATTAATGAAGCCTAATAGAGGAAGAAAATTCAAACGAAATGAAGGCTTCAAAAATGAACCAAAGGAGAAGGACCATATCATTTGCTATGAATGTAAAAAACATGGTCATGTCAAATACGATTTCCCGCAATTAAAGAAGAATGGTCAATCAAAGAAGATGAACAAGGCACACGTGGCTACTTGGAATGATGATGATGATGAATCAAATGAAGAGGAACAAGAAGTAGTGAACCTATGCTTGATGGCCATCAAGGAAGATTCTTATGTAACCTCTAACTCATTTGATTTAGAAGATTATTATTATGATGAGTTATTAGAGGAATACAATGGGTTGGATTCGGATTATGAGAAATTATTTTCGAAATACAAGAAAGATATTTCAAAATTGATAAATGAAAATGATCTCATATCCAAGACCAACAATGATTTGAAATTAAAACAAAGAATTGCAAATCAAAATCGAAGATTTTGAAAAGAAAAATTCTGATTTGCATAATTTACTTTTAAGAGTCCATGATGATCCTCAAAAGAAAATTGATGATCTTAAAGCTTCTTTCAATAAAGTTGGACCAAAACATTTTGAAAAAGGAGAAAATTCAAAATCCAACTATATTAGAAAAAGCTTTAAATCTTACAATCATAGAGGTCCCTAAAGAACATCTAATGGTAAAATCGTTAGGAGTATATGGGTTCCTAAATGACTCAATACTACTAAATATAAGGATATCCTAAATAAATAGATACCCAAGGGGACTAGAATTTTAGGGACAAATGAATATGGACCCAAAAGAATTTGGGTACCAAAAATAAAAAATTAATCTATGTTTGTAGGAAAAGGAGCATTGCTACAAGGCACAAAATACAAGTTCAAATTCATGGTTCCTTGATAGTTGATGCTCAAGAAACATGACCGGAAACAAGAGCCGGTTTATAAAGCTTAAAGAAAAAAATGGAGGAGTGGTAACATTTGGTGACAACTCAAAAGGTTACATTGAAGGTATAGGTACTATAGGCAATACCTCTTCCATACAAATAGAAAAAGTATTTTATGTGAATGGGTTAAAGCATAATCCATTGAGTATTAGTTAATTATGCGATAAAGGATACAATGTCTTATTTGAATCAAATGGTTGTAAAGTCACTGACATTGCATCTAATTGGATTATGCTTATTGGTCATAGAATAGGAAATATATACATGGTGCATTTAGATTAATTAAATATGACTAATTTATGTCTAGTTTTCAAGGATGAACATGATAGTTGGTTATGGAATAGGAGACTAGGACACACTAGCATGAGTGTTTTACAAAGACTAATTCAAGGAGATTTAGTAAGAGGGTTGCCAAAGCTAAAATTTGATAAAGATAAAATCTGTGATGCATGCTCAAAAGGAAAACAAAATAAATCCATTAATAATGTATCCACTAGTAGAGTATTACAATTGATCCATATAGATCTTTTTGAGTCAATTAGGACTACTAGTTTGGGTGGAAAACAATACAGTTTTGTATTAGTAGATGACTATTCTAGATATACTTGGGTTCTATTCTTAAGTACTAAAGATGAAGCATTAGAAAATTTCATCACGTTTTCAAAAGTAATCTAAAATGAAAAAGGTTACTCCATTTCAAGTGTTAGGAGTAATCATGGTACTGAATTTGAAAATCTTGGATTTATCTATTTTTGTAATTCAAATGGGATTAGCTATAATTTTTCAGCATCTAGAACCCCTCAACAAAATGGAGTTGTTGAGAGGAAATGGCTAGAACCATACTTTGTGAAAATAATTTGTCAAAATATTTTTAGGTGGAAGCTACAAATACTGATTGCTATGTTATAAATTGAGTAATGATTAAGCCTATTTTGAAGAAAACTCCATATGAAATTTTCAAAAATAAAAAGCCTAACATTAGTTATTTTCATCCTTTTGGATGTAAATGTTTTTTTTAAACAACGGTAAAGATAACCTTATCAAATTTGATGCTAAAAGTGAAGAAGGATTTTTTTGGGTTATTCCTTAAATTCTAAAGCTTATCGAGTATTTAATAAAAGAACTTTAGTGGTAGGAGAGTCTATTGATGTTGTTTTCGATGATAA